GTAGTGACTAGGAGTTGGTGAGGATCTCTGGTGGCAAAAATTGTTGTGCGTTGGGCTGCGATCCACAAAGTCAACTGTTTAAAACCACCAGCTACTCTGCTGGAGAAAGCTAGGGCTTTTTATTCCCATAAAGAGTTGTAGCCTCTGAAAGGCACAAGGGGCAGTTCTGCCCTGTCCCATAAGGTGGTTAAGAGGCATCAACTCGTTGGCAATGAGTTTCTGAGGAGCTAACTGAATCCTTTCAAAGTGAAGACAGATGTACATGTGATTGTCTAAGTCAGAAGTTTGAGACCCAGGACTCAATGTATAGAAACTATTAATGAATGCACTTAAAACAAAAACAAAGAAACCCTCTCATTCTTTTTTTAAATCATTTTATTGGGGGCTCATTCAACTCTTATCACAATCCATCCATCCATCCATTGTGTCAAGCACATTTGTACATTTGTTGCCATCATCATTCCCAAAACATTTGCTTTCTACTTGAGCCCTTGGTATCAGCTCCTCATTTTTTGAAACCCTTTCTTTGAATCAATAAAAAAATCCATTAAGTTTTCAGGATACAGGAACAATGTTAAAAAAATCAATCATATTTCTATGTACTAGCAGTGAAAAACCTGGAAAGGAAATTAGGAAAACAATTCCATTTATAATAGTCTCAGGAAGCAAAATCCCAGCTACTTTGGGGGAAGAAACTGAACAATTGATCTGAAAATATTTCAGGGACACAGAATAATCAAAACAATCTTAAAATAAAGATCAGATTAAGAGCACACAATTCTGATTTCAAACTTACTGCAAAGCTACATTGATCCGGGCAGCGTGGTGCTGCCACAAGGACAGAGCAGGGGAATAGAATGGAAGATCCAGAGAGAAATTCTTGCATTGTGGGAAACGGATTTCCAAAATTGAACCAAGGCAATCAGATGGGGGAAAGAATCGTCTTTCTACCAGTGGCGCTGCGACCACTGGGCATTCAGAAGAATGAAAATGGGTTCCCGCCTCCAGTGGTGCATGAATGATGGATGGGAGACCTACGAGGGAGGAAGGGAACGGAAACGTAGGAGAAACTCAGACTGACCTGGGTTTTGACAATGAATTTTTAAACACAACCTCAAACGCACTAAGAGACTAAAGGAGAAGGAAAGAAAGATAATGTGGACTCCCCCCAAATGAAAAACTGCTAGGTTTGGAAACGATCCCATCAGGAAACGCCGAGAGAACCCACAGGATAAGGGAAACTGTGTCAGTCTTGTCTATTTGACTCGACACGTGTGTCTAGACCATATAAAGCGCATTGACGACTTTATAATAACATGAGTAATAATCCAAAGGATTGGCCCAACATTCGGGTGGGTAACCGGCACGTGCAAATGCAAAATCAAAATCCCAATGAGCTACGACGACCTGCCCTTTGCCATCGTTGAGTCATGCCGACTCACGGTGTCCTTGTGCACCCAGCGTGGAACGGCTTCGTAAGGTTTGCAAAGGAGCCCTGGTGACACAGTGGTTAAGCCCTTGGCTGCTGATCTCAAGGTCATGGTGAAAGGTCATCAGTTCAGGCTCACCAAGGGCGCTGGGGCTGAACGCACCTGGCAATCTGCCCTCCTACCGCTTTCAGCCCGGGAATCGCGATAGGGCTGCTCTACTCTACCACGTAGGGTCACCGTGAGTTAAAACCACTGGACACCAGACAGCCACTGCACGTGGGCTTTTCAAGGCTGTGGCCGCTCTTCCCAGGCTTCCCGGGGTGCTCAAACCCCAAGTCTACCAGTGAGTAGCCTAGTGCCACCCATTTGTGCCACCCAGGAACTTGTCCCACCTGCTAGTAGGACAGACAGACAATAACAAGTTAGTGTGGGCAAAGATGCTGAAAAACTGGAATCCTCTCTTATCACTGGAATCTAAAATGTTGCTTTGGAAAACAGTTTGGCAAATGTTACACCTGAAATTGCATCTGGTCATTGCACTTGTAGGTATAAAACCAAGTGAGATGAAAACCTATGTTCCACTGGAATTTGTAAATCAATGTTTGCAATAGATAAAGAGTAGAAGCAACCCAAATGTCCGTGAACTGACAACTGAATGAATAGAACATCCTGTTGACACACAGGAAGGTTATTCATTAATAAAAAGAAGTGAAGTTCTGGTATCTGTTACCTAATTATCTACAATTAGACTGATGATGGCCGCACCGTTCTGTGAATATACTACACTGAATTCTCTATTTTCAACGGGCACACTCTATGGTGAGTGAAGCTTTTTTAAACGAAGAAGTGAATAAAGGGTGTTGAATGTTATAATGGGTGAAGGGTGCTATGTGAGTGACTAATGTGGAATCTCAATTGAGCTGATATGCGAAGGGTAAGGATTTCAGTGCCTAACAGCCAGGGTTGAGCAGACAGTAAGGGCAAAGGCCTCGCAGTTCAGAAAAGCCCAGCAAATTGAAAGAAGGTGACTAGGAGCAGAGGGCAGGTGTGATGGATGGGCGGGAGCCAGACACTGCAGGCTACGGCACATGAAGGGCGTTAGGAGGCCGTTGGCAGGTTTTCACCTGTGGAATGCAATGATTGGATTTGAATACCTTACAAGTATTCTCGGGTTTCAGGAGATGTACTGGCGGGATCGACACGTACATACAGGAAAGAAGTCAGATGAGAAGCCAGTGTAGAATCGAGGCTAGAGACGACTGAGAGATACCGAGATTGGAGTGGTTACGGGGAGGGGGGAAAGTGAGAACAAGGAGGCAGCTAGCTCTTCTCTGAAGGCTGGCTGTAAAGAGGTGAGAAGACGGAGGTGTAGAGCGAAAGGAATATGAGATGGGGAAAATGTTAGAGATAGGCATGTTTACATCGGGTTCGGAGGCATCCAAAAGGAAGCAAGAAGTTGCATCTTCAGCAGAGAGAGGAAAGTGTGTATTCAACGAGGCCCTTGGGAGGTGGACAGGAGGGCGTCCAGCACAGCCAGCGAGGGGCATGTAGGAGACTAAAGGGAGAAGGTGGTCACAGGTGAGAGCGAGCTTGTAAATGTGGAGGCGGACCTTTCTCACCTCCAGCCTCCAAGCCTTCAAAGCAAATCACGAGCCAAGGCTGAGTCGCTACGCCCTAATACAGTGATGGCTGAAACAGCAAGAGGACCGGCTTCGACATGATGGTGGGCGCCGATGAGGCTAAATCCGTGACTGTGCGCCTTATAGTAAGTATCCTTCCTTCCAACCAGGAAGGGTGGAAAAATTAAGAGGGAACGGGGACCCTACTCGGAGAAAAGTGAGTGAGAAAGAATCTGTCATTTCAAAAGTTCGAGTCTGTAGGCCCTGTGTGCGGAATCACCTCAAAGATCCAATGGGAGGATCATTCTTTGGCATTCAAAATGAAGCAGATCGGAATAAGCAGAAAACTAGAAACCACGACATGTTTTCTGTGCAGGAACAAAAATTGGGTTTAAGAAAACACAGCGGAATTGAAATTAACTATGCTATCTGCCATGCTTAATAACTTTTGATCATCAGGAAGTTGCAAAAGCTCCTCAGGAAATATAGATGCTAAAATTGTAGTTCTTTAAGGAGACGGTGCCTGTCTTTTGATTTCAAGGTACATGATCAGGGGATTCAGTAAATGCTGTTGACAAAAATAATACAGAGAAACAGGTTTCAGCAGGTGTGGATCACCAGACTGGCGCCGGGAGAACCATGCACTTCAGAGACGGGGGTGGGGGTGGGGGTGGGGGGGGCATATAGACACTACCCCAAGGAGAGTAAACGGGCTAATGCAGCCAAGTAAATTCTCTTCAGTGTCTGAAGGCTTGACCGTTCCAGGCTTTCTGCAGGGGTCCGGAGTGCAGAGCTAGAAGCAAGAGGGGAAAGTTTGAGAGACCTATACTATTGTCTCCAGATAAAGAAGGTTTAACCCTTACATCTGGGCAACAACGGGGACGCACATCCCCGAGCCCCCTTGGCCTGGAGAATGTCCAGCTCCCAGAGCCTGTCAGAGCTTCTGCTCTAGCCACTGGGGTGTGGGTTCTGTCCAGCTATCCTCTGTTGCAAGAAAAGAACATACAGAGGAAATGTGACCGGTGTTAATTTTCTAGCACACCTGGTGGCATATTAGTTACGTTTGGCTGTGGGCTGCAAGGTTAGCAGTTCGAAACCACCAGCTGCTCTGTGGGCGAAAGCGAGGGATTTCTATTCCCCTAAAAATAGTTTCAGAAACAGAGGGGCAGCTCCACCCTATTCTATAGGGTCACTATCAGTCAGCACCGGCTCGGTGGCAGTGAGTTTTGGAGCTTGGATACTAGAAGTGTTGGTACGAGCTGCTCATGATTGCCCAAAATTGCAGAGCAAAGGCTAGGCACTTCCTGGGTTGTAAACAGGATTCGAGCCCAGGTGTGCCTTTTAAAGTCAAATGTGTAGGTAAGTCAGAACAGGTGCATGCAGTTCCCATCAGTAAGTTGGAAGCCTTTCAATGATTCAAAGGGCAGCCTGGCAGCAGGTAAAAGTGATTGTGATGGAGGATTAGTTGGGGCTGGTTCCATTGTTTCAAAATGAGGATGAATTTGAAGGGCAAGCACGAATTGTCCCGGGCAGGGTCTGCTTGTAGCAGTAAAGCCTGAGGCAGCCCAACTCTCCTCTCCCCAAAGCCTATTTCGATGAACTCACATATGGCTCTTCTTTTTTTTTTTTAGGTCGAGTGCTCACCTTTCTCTTTGCAACAGCAATGAAGATTTCTATTGCTCTCAGTCATGACTTTCGGCCCACACCCTTCTATGAATGCTCACCGATCAACAGGGCCTCCATGCATTCTGAAGCCTTGGCCTTGGCCATCAGGGGCCCTGTGCAGTTGAGCCTTGGCCCACAAGGCTAAGAGCTGTACCAGCCCCAGGACACCTGCTCCCAGGCCCTTGTGGACAGTTCCTGGAGGAGAAGCAGGCGTATGCCCCTGGGAGGATAGGATTCCAAAGCGGACTCTCACCTGGACGGCAGGGGCTGCTGCTCTGCTTCCGTCTCAGCTGTACATGACGAGGTGCATCCACTAAGAAATAAGTGTCATCGTTAGTCTGTTGCGTCCATTCCAATTCATGGGCGCCCGCGTGTGCAGTGTCCGGCTGCCCGGTTGAGTTTGTGAGGCCGTGACCTTGTGAAAGCGGATTACTAAACCTGTCTTCGGAGGCCCCTCTGGGTGGGTTCAAGCCACCACGCTTTTGGCTAACCCACCGAGGGATGCCTGGGATCATTGCTCTCATCAATCCATGTGAGCTTACTCCACGGAGCACGGCTAACGGCGCCTCCTCCCCTGGAATGCTCAGTCTCATCAACCCGTCCCAGCCAATTCCAAGCCCGAGGGAGGTTTCCATCCCCACGCCACAGCACCTCTGAATGACAGGTAAGTGTCTCCAAGGTTGACCAACATGGCCAGGTGGAGAGGCTCTTTCTAATAAAACTCAGTGGAAGGAAGTTTCATTTACAGCAGTGGTTCTCAACCTTCCTCATGCCATGACCACTTCATACAGTTCCTCATGGTGTAGTGACCTCCCCAACCATACAATTATTTTTGTTTGCTACTTCAACACTGTAATTTTGCTACTGTTATAAATCGTGCAAACCCTGTGAAAGGATCGTTCGACACCCCCCACCCACCCCCGTTGAGAACCACTGATTTACAGGGAGTTCACCAGGCTGTTCTCCACTTCCCTCTTGAATTTAGGACCCCCACACAATCCTCTGCTTTCATATGCTATCAGAAAAAAATTTAAATCTTTCCCCAGAGATCCTAAAGCAGCCATGGCAGCCAGCAATCTATGAAAGCAGTTATCAGGGTGGGGAGAAAACTGTCCCCTGGAATGATGCCAGGAGATGTGGCCTGGGATTTGTGTCCTCTCCCACCCTCTGCCCAGGAGGGAAAGGTAACTCACCTGCATTTCTGTCAGGTAGAGACCTCTTCCATCTTTGGAGAGGTTTCGGAAAGTCTCTGAGGTGAGAGAGGAAACGGTTCAGGTGGAAGAGGAAGGAAGCCAGGATCAGGGAGGCAGGCTTGGGTCCAGGGGCTATTCTGAGCATGCACCACCTCACTCTCCAAGGAGTTGCCCCTCTGCTCTTTCCAGCCAGACCTATTGACCAGCCTCAGGCCTCCACAGTGCTCACCTCCTCGAAAGAGCTTTCTGAGCTCACCTGGCCCATAGGCCCAGCCGTTCTCTTCCAGTTCCTTACATTTTCCATCTCCACGCTTGGCCTTAGCAGGAAGGTAGGGCAGGGGGAGGGAGGGCAATGTCCACGCTTGGCCTTAGCAGGAGGGTAGGGCAGAGGGAGGGAGGGCATCCTTCTTGTATTCAGTAGTCCCTGGGCACATGGTAGGAGCCCTCCAGAGAGCTCCCTGTGGGGGCAAGGCTTACGCCGCAGGCTACTCTCTTCCCCAGTCCAGGGCTCCAGTCTCTCCATCTTTATCGATTGCCTCATGCACTGGGGTTCAGGCTGTGTTCTATCGAGCTGAGGGGCTTTGCAGAGAGGCTCACGGCAGGGGGTGGGGCTCAGGGAGCCCCCCAACCCCCACCTCCCAGATCTACCTCAGCACAGCAACTCCATCTTGAGCTACATCTTCTTCCAGGGTTTCATAGACGATTTCATTTGAAACCAAGGGTTAGGCTGCTAAAAAGGGTCAAAGCTCTGGCTTACATCAGTGGCTGTCTGGAGCCACGGGAAGGACTCCTGCCCTCAGCTGTTCACTTGGCTGTGAAATGCCTTAGGTAGAGACGCACATCTACCACTGCATGGAGAGAGGGGCCGGCGTTTTAAGCGGAGCTTCTTCAACTGCGCTCTCGTGAAGCCTTGGTTCTCAAGTGAAACACGCACTCGTAGCCTACCACAAAACATCACCAGTTAGATGCTGTGGATGAAAAGCTGTACTTGATTTGAACGCTTGTTCTTTAGACCTGTATACTCGGGGCACAGGAGAAAGATGAGGCTTGCTCCTCCCCTAAAGAGTAGCAATCTTAGAAACCCACAGGGGCAGCTTTACGCTGTTCTATGTATCATTATGAGTCGGAATCAACTCGATGTCAGTGTGAGAGATAGTTCTGCATAGACCCCGGGGTCTCATAATATTTCCTCTTGCGAAATGGGGTCGCCAATGGAAAACGTTTAAGAAGCCCCCACCTAGCTGTCAAAACTGATTGACAGCAATGGATGATCGGAAGTATAGGTGGAAATGAAGATGAATCAATTCAGTAGAAAACAGCCTTTGGGTCAGAGGTCCCAACAAGAAATAGGTGTCCTATTGGGCTTCTACCCAAGTACTCCCTCAACGCAAGAACACTTTGTTCTAATAATCCGGCATTCTGAGATGCTCACCTTCCCGACACGATCACTGAAGACAAAGGGGTGCATAAGCAAATGTAGTGAAGAAAGCTGATGGTGCCCCACTATCAAAAGATATAGCATCTGGGGTCTTAAAGGCTTGAAGATAAACAGGTGGCCATCTAACTGAGAAGTAACAAAGCCCACATGGAGGAAGCACACCAGCCTGTGTGATCATGAGGTGTTGATGGAATCAGGTAACAGACACCAGAAGACCCAGACCAAAAACTCATGTCCGTGTGAATGGGGTGGTGGTGGAGAGTGAAGGCCAAAGCCCATCTGTAGGCAATTGGACATCCCCTTACAGAAGGGTCGTGG